AAAGGACCTGCAACCGTCTTAGGCTAGGAATCAATCACTGGCCCTAAATATCCGTGCAGGGAATCGAACTGGAGTTAAGTTTTTCCATGCGCGGGCATAGGACTGTTGGGATGTAAAACTAGCACATCTAATTAGCACAGAGTACTGTGCGAGTCAATCAATTTATAGGTTTGAATAGGTTGCAGGTAAACGCTTCAGTTGTGGGTCTTGGACTCAGCGGGTGTAGTAGATGAACATACTTCACCCGCCTCGAAAGTAAACCTGGGATTTAAATGTAAACTTGTGAGAACGCCCTATTAAACTTATTAAACTTAGGTTCCGAATAGATTTATTCAGGGATGTGTCATTAATTTACAATTTGTTATAGGTTCCGATTGAATAGATATATACATTTAGCAAACCCTATGCTGATTACTTTGTGAACTATATAGTACATATGTCTGACACACACACACAAAGCAAAACCAGATATTTATGGATTAAAGGGCTTGTGGGTTTGTTGCTTCTAATCATAAATCTGAAGTCTTCTTCCCATGAAAGTCCTGATAAAGCTTTTTGGAAAAAGAGGGTTAAGGATTGAAAGAGCTTTTTGTGTGGATGCAATCCATATTCGTCCCAATGAGTGGAATTTGGGGGCATGGATTTACTTTATGCTCTCTTCTATATGGCTACACCCTTCTGTAATATTACGCTTACTGGGTTTTCAAGCACTGAATGAATCATACAATCGCTCCACCTTCTCCTTTCGTAGTGGTATATATTTACTTAGGAGTGAAATTCAGCCAAGCTTCAGGAAAAGAAACTGTAACATTTACAATTCTGAATTAAGTCGGACTTGTTTCATTCCAGGATTAAGATCAGGAATGTTGTGCACATGCAAAAGTACATTATCTTCCAACAACGGTATCAACAATTCTAAACCCAAATTAGCAATCTGATTATTCTCACTTATCCAAGAAGAGAATCTATTGAGTTACATGCCCCAGATTTCTGCATAAAAGTGCACGGGACTGTGCACTCAGTGAGTTGTTATTACAACTTTAATGTCTTTGGCATTTACCTTTAATAATTGTTTCACATACGGCTTTCCTGTTAGTTTCTGTTTACTTCCTAACGTCTTTATGAATTGTACTTGGTATTTTCTTGCAGACATTATTGTTTTAAGCAAGCAGATACTGCAGTTTGTTTATAACTGGGCTGAAGATACAAAAAAGCATTCTTTACGAATCTAACAGTTCATTTAGTTAATGTCACTGCAACCAACTGTTGAAATGATTTCTTTCAACCAGGATTAAAGAATTGATTCCTGTGGAAATAAAAATTTAAAAAGTTATGGTGCATCGGTATAGCAAATAGTGCTAAATGGATACTGATGGGGTGGGGAAGATAAATTATGACCTAATATGGCTTTTAACGCAGCAAATGTACAGTGAAGGAATACAGTCAAGATTATTATATTCTTATGTTAGCTCATCTCTATATTTTAGGAAGCTAAAAGTGCACAGAGGGAATTATAGTGAAAGGAAGAATGGGAAGTTGTTCCCTGGATATCTATCATTTGTTTAACCCACAGAAGTTGCAAAAATCACACACCAATTTTGTCTTCTGAAATACTGTAATTTAGCTCCCTAATCCTACTGAAATCAATGAGAGCTATGGTGCAATCAGAGAATGAATGCCATTCATTCATCTCAGTAAACCGATGCTGGGTTTATACATGATACTGCACTGCTAGACTTTCAGAATTCATTTATATTTTTCAATAAACCGAAATCCTATGGATTTGACACTTAGCATCACCATGCCTTAAGCAAGTCTATGTAGAAACATATATGTTTCTTAGAAATTGCACCCAACAAGTGCACAGTACTCAAACTACATTCCTAGAGTAGCACCTTATTGAAGAAATGACCATTGCTGGATAAAGGTATGATGAAATATTTTGCTTATTCCTACAAAATGGAAGCAACTTGATCAAGCAAATCTTGTCCTAAAACATTAGTTTTTATCTAGATATTTTATGTAAGAAGAAAAGAATATTTTTGTGAAATTCATGGAACCACAAAATAACTGATCTTAACAAAAATCTTAAAAATTAAAAACAAAGGACAATTTTTTTGATGGGCTTGTGCAATAGAATTACAATACCATTACACTGTAATTCTAGGCAATAGCTTACTTCTGCAGATGTATACATAGTATTATTAGGCAGAAAACAGTTAATGGTGAATTCCATAATTATTTGCATTTAGTTTTGTAGTTAAACCTGTTGCAGAAGTAGTGCTTTGGAGGGGGTGTGTAATTGTGAACAGTTCAGAGCAATAGAGAGAATAATTTATTTTAATAGCACATTTATTTTAATTATTCTTAATGCTGCACTTTCAATTCTTTAAAAAAGTTTTTATTAAACTTTAATGATTCTACCTTTATTGCATCTAAAATAGTAAAAAGGTCAGTGTTTTTCCAATACATTGATCTGTCTTACTCAGCAAGATGTTAAATTGTGAAGGCAATTTCTTACACACTTTCAGAATTCCATTCCATTCCTTAAATTTCTATTCTCTTCTTGATCCCATTGATTTCTTGCATTTGGTTAATGGTATTATTTTTTTTTAATCAACACATTATTGGAATTCTGGAATATAAGACCCAGCTTATATTTGAAACAATGAAACATCTTTATTCCAGGTAATAAGGATGCTGAATAAAAATGCACTTGTGTTTTTATAGGACAAGAAAAGAGATCCCACTTCAATGAAATCAGTAAAACTATTAAAAATCTAAATTGCAGTTGAAAGATTTTTGATATCAATAACTACCATCTAACTGAGTTTAATATAATGGAGCCTCAAGGGTTTTCTCTTATAACATTCATGAGATTGTGTGTGTGTGTAAAACACTCCTCAGTTCTTCCAAAAGTATATGCATGCTGATTTTTTGAAAATCTCCCATTTGCATATGCGAATGGCTACCTACATATGCAAAGTTTTGGAAACTTTTTTTGTGTAACTGCATCTCTTGATTCTTCTAGTGATGGAGAAAGTAGCAAAAAACAAAAACAAAAACCGCACGGAAAGAGGTTTATCATCTGCATGTTCTTAACACAACACTTGTTATGCCCAAAGTAGAACTTTAATCAGAAGATTTAGAGATTTAGATATATTTGATGCTATGTGTCATTTAAGAGCTGGGACTTAATTTGATTTTAAATTTGAAAACTTAGCCTTCCATTCTTACTCCAAAATAAAAGGGAAACTTGATTTTAAAAGGATGGGCTGAGGAATCTGGACGGCTCATCTTTCAGCTCCTGTTGTGTGACAGGTCTAGCCAAACACAATTGCTTTAGAGTTAGGCTGCAATTCCTAAAAAGCGAGGAAAGAATCGCTTTTTAATTGCCACTTCAGAAGGGTGAGAAGCAAGTATAATTTTAAAAGTCGTGAAAAATGCTCTGTTGCTCCAAAGCAAAAACGGGGGAAGGAGAGGGGGAGGAGAGGGAAAATACCGGGCACCACATCCAGCACACAACTTTGTGATAAAAAGACAAAAAAAAGAGATATAATTTGGGGACGTTGGTAAGTTTGAGTAATGAACCTAACGTTCTCTGCTTTTGAGTCTTACCAAGGTTGAATGTTCCGTTTGAGACGGGTATTTTTTTTTCCCCACCGTGGGAAAGAAGTTACCTCGGCGTTTTTGCCAAGTCTTCTCCGGGAGAAGGCACTCTTCTGCTTTGAACTTTTTGCCAGGCCGCCTGCCCCCTTGCTCCGTCTCCTCCCTCTCCCTCCCCGCCACGCAGCTGGGTCCCCTAAACAATCGCCCCCCTTCAGAAGAAGTGGCCTTCTTCGCCAGATGTCCACGTTGCAATGATTTTCAGCACATTTTAATCGGCTCGGCCTCTGATAAAGCCCTAATTAAAGAGACCTCGCTATCTGGGGGCTGGTTCAGAACTCCAACCTCCTTATCGCATTCTTGAAGCTTTGGGGCACGCAACGCCGGGAAACGTGGCCAAAAACACCAAGTCTGCTCCGGGCAGGGGTTTTGAAGGCCACCGAACCGCTGGGCAAAGAGAACTCCGGATCTAGAGCTTCGGGGCTTGGAGGGGCTTTGGAGAGCCGAGGGGAGGAGGGAAAGCCCCTTAGCTTTGGGCGTTATGAGCCAAGATAAGGCCGTTGGGAGCAGCTGATGCCTGGAAGCGCAGGGGTTGGGCACCGGCCTGTCATCGCTGTTCCTCGGCCGAATAGACAAGGGACGCTTAAGCACCAGAACGCGCCTGGCGCACGCGGCGGCTTTGAAGGCTCAGGCCGCGCCAAGCTCCTAGTTGCCTGCCAAATGCGCGGCGCGACGGCGGGTGGGAGGAAAAGTGTGTGTGTGTGTGTGTAGGGGGTGTGTGTGTGGGGAGAAACGACAATTTACCGGGCAAGGTGTTTCTACCTCCCCCCCCCTCCCCTTTTACCTTCAGCTCAATGCACTGGGATCTCCACTCCGTGGACTGGAAAGGCAGAGAAAAACCTGCATTTTTCAAAAGCCGTTTAAAACTCTTTTTTTTTCTCCCCCCTGCGGGGCGCCAAAATAAAGTAGTCCATTCGCCCCCCCCTCCTTTTTTTTTTTTTGAACCTGTTATGACTTGAAGCCCATTCCCTCCCAGGCTTTTGGAAAGTTTTGAGTTACAGCAGCCCCCATGTGCACATGTCCAAGAATAAGAAGGAGTCCCCTTCGGCACAGTGGCTCGGGTTTTGTAGTAAAGGGGGAGATTTTACAGATGAAAAGGCTGTTCGATCCCCACTTTCTTGACAGCAGGGTCCCCTGAAGTCGACAGGACTTCAGAACAGACAGTCTGAAATAAACTGTTTTCCCCAAAAGAAGTCAGGATAAATAAACTTAAGATCAGGGATGTTGACTTGAAAACTGAAAGGTGAGATATCTCTTTAAAAGAGTGAAATGTACTGATAAAAAAGGCGGGACCCCTCAGAAGCGCCTTAAAACCGCTGGTATTCTAGGGAGCAATGAAGCTGGAGGAGGACATACCACGTAGGTGTGATCCCAAACTTTTGGACCAGGCTTGCATGACTCTGTAAACGCCATAAGCTCCAGAGTCCAGGAACCTTTGGAAGAAGAATAAAAAATTATGATCCAAGCAACTTACCTGGAAAATAAACCCATTGAAACAGGCAGATTTCTATATTCAATTTCCTTCCTTTTAGAAATATCTACAGATTTGCAGTTAGATTCACTTCCCTGTGTTGAAATTCATCTGGAGAGGCCCAGACTTGGGGAAAGCTGATGTAGGCAAAAAAAAAAAAAATGGTTTATAGATTTCAGACAATGGAATTGAGTAGGCTTTACTTTTAAAGAAGAGGCAGGAGCACGTTAAATCTGAAACGTCGCCAGTACGTCTCAATTAAATAAAGACGTTTAGGAAAAGTGAGCTTCTGAATTGAGAAGGTTCATAGCTTTCTTCTCCGAGCCCCCACGTCTGGCAACTATCGCCCCTTACCAAAACTGAGACTAGATAGATTACAAAACCAGAATAAAAACGAAGATCGAAACGTTTCTAGTCCTGCTGTCTATCCCCATTAAAAGATTGCGCGGGTTTTTCTTCACAAGTTTTGGTTCCTCGAGAAAAGTCAAAAGTAAAAATTTGCGTCCCCAAGGTGACAATACTACACGCAGGCTGTCCGCCCTAACATATTAGCAAGAGTCAATGGGGACGGTTGGATCGGAACGGCCACTTGATATGAATGAGGAGCGCAAGTTTACGTCGTCTTTTAGTAAAGTCTTCTCATGTTTTTGAGTAGCTGGTGAACTATATTGCACCTTGTGGGCATCCAGTGGTGCGTTTATGTGAGCGATCCGCAATTCCACCTCCCCTCCTTCAATTTCTGCCCCGTTTCTTCAGTTTTGTCCCAATCCCTTCGCGAACCTTTTTCTAAGAACCTAAACGGCTTTTTCGACAGCCAGAGTTCGTCCGGAGAAGCAGGTTGTAGGATTGCTGCAGAAAAGGCATTTGCCTCCCCCCTCCTCCAGCAAAGCCTACTACTTGTTGCTCCTCTTACAACCAACTTGTATTCTGAACGTGCAAACCTGATCTCCAAAGAGCAGCGAGTTTAAAAGAAATTGCGGAATTCTAACTCAACGTGTTCCGGAAGCGAAGTTCCCATAAAGTGATTATTTACTTTAAAAGAAGCGTTTGCTTGCGGTGTTGGGAAAGCGAGGGGAGATTTCATAGCGACGCTACGCCAAACATTTCACGGTCTTAGGGCAAATGCTGATGCGCGGAGAAGTCTTAAAGATAATATTACTTTGTAATTACTTTTTAGCCGAAGTTGTTTAACTGGCTCCACGTAATTAATGAAAGTTGGTGTCTAAACGCCTGATTTACGATTCGGTCTCACCCTGAGGTCACAATAGGCGATTTTTTTCCATCTGAATTCGCTCCTTTCTTTTTCTTTTTAAAATAAGCTGTTTATTATTTGAGCGAGTAATTTTCGGCTAAAGTAGGAGGTTATTTTTCATTTAATGGGCTGCCATTTTTATTGCAGGCTCTTCAGAAAGTTAATCTTACAAAACAAGCGAGAAGCCAGCGAGAACGAGATTAAAGGGTAACTTTAACATATTGTGGAATGGCAGACAAGTCTGTTCAGCAGATCAGGACTTTTTCTTATATACGGGGGACTATTAATGGAAACTTTGCTTACTGGGGAAAACGGCCGACACGGACTTTTAAAAGATAGCCAAACCCCGTGTGGATTTCAAAATTCGGGAATATCCTTTGAGACTTGTTGCCCTAAACTCTTGCTGGCGCCAAAAGTTTTAAACACTGGAATCAACATCTAATATGCACCGGATCCAGTAGTTTCTGCAGCTTTTATCCCTTTATCAAAGGAAGGCAGAGACGCAAAACCCAACCCCGTGCTTGAGTAAAACTTTTATCGGGACCAATCAGAAAGTCAGAAAATGGTGCAGACGTTTCCGACTTCCCCAGAATTTTTTCACTGTGGGATGAAGAGTTTTGAAGAATTGGGAAACTTGCATACCTTTTCCCTATCATTCTGGGTTGGTGTCATTTATTTATTACACTTTAAATTTATTTATTTGCACTTATATGCCTTTTGACTTCAACACCGCTGATTGTTTGAAGGACATATGTGGCTTGTTCTCTGCTTTGGATGGACATCTAAAAATCAACTTTTTATCTTTTTAATGGGCAGCAGCAGGCAAAAGAGTTCAGATGTAAAGGTAGGAGGCACTGCAGGAAAACAACCCTGCCCTCAATTCAATGAGAAACCCTGCCATTCTGAGTTCATGGGTTTTGGCCCTCTCTTTTGCAGAAAGAAGCCATCTGCTGCTGTAACAGAGCAGAGGCTTCCTATTTCTGACAACTTCTCGCCTCCTGCCTGTCTAGAGGGACGTTCTTGCAGGAAGAAAGTTCAAGGGCAGGCAATTCAGCCCCTGATTCCAACCCTGTTGTTCTCTTGGCAGGTTACGGCACAGTGGCGTTTGATGGAGCTCCAAGTTACGGCCATACTCCCTCTCACCCTGGGGCACAGTTTACAAACCACTCCTTCAAGCACGAGGACCCCATCGGCCAGCAGACGCCTTTAGGTAATGGTAGCGGAAAACATCTGTGCGAGGAACCGATCCCGGGTGGGAGAGAGGGAAGTTGTTTGCTACACACACACACACACACACACACACACACACACACACACACACACACAGTTTAATACTGGGGCCTTGCCTGTACTAACAATTGAGAGGGTTTGGCGTCTCTGTATGCCTAATCCGGTTCATCCTAATGGCAAAGAGCAGTTGGATAACTGAGAAGCTGGGGACCGGACTGGATGTCAACAAAAGTGTAAGAATTACAAGAGGCTTTGAAACCTCTGTGGGAATGTCTACGGAGATTCTCAATCATCCAGGTCATAATTATCCCAAAGGTGCTTTTTCACGAGGCAACTGGACTTTCTTGTTTTTCTTTGAAGACGTTTTGCTTTTCACCCAAGAAGCTTCTTGGATGAGAAGCAAAATGTCATTAAAAAAAAAAAAGTCCAGTTGCCTCGTGAAAAAGCACCTTTGGGATAACTCTGGGAATATTGTAACACAGTTTTACTCCTCCGTGAGCCAGCAGTAACTTCACTGGCACAGAAGAGACCTTCCTCCAGCATAAACCAAATAGTCAATCTTTGGAATTATGTCAGTAATTCTTCATCAGCAGATTAATTCTAATGTCCTCGTTATGATTCCCTCCAAGGTTTCTATTTGGCCTTTCAGCTCCCGGAATTTCTAGTCAGTATTGACAAAGACTGGCTGAAAATAGCAGGGATAGTTGTTCAATATATTTGGAGGACATCAGAATGGGGAAGGAAGACTGGATTAAATTAAGCCAGTTGCAACCCAGCTCTTGCCTATCCAGAATCCATTGTATTCTAAACTTGATAACACACTTACCTGATAGTAATCTTTTGTGTCCCTCTGTGTACCACTGGGTGAATCTACTTAAGACTGAGCTCAGCAAGTGGTAAATTCCAATGAAATCAATGACTATCTGCAAAAAGTCTTTTGGGTTTCTAAATTCTAGATCAGTGTTTCTCAACCTTGACAATTTTAAGGCATGTGGACTTCAACTCCCAGAATTCCACAGCCAGCAATGCTGGCTGTGGAATTCTGGGAGTTGAAGTCCACATGCCTTAAAATTGTCAAGGTTGAGAAACACTGTTCTAGATCTAGAAAACTCAAAATTATGTTGGAATCTTGTTGGTTCTGACATTGCTACTTTATTATTAAAATTATATTTATTATCCAGCCTTTCTACTGTAAGGCCCCAAAACAATCTTATTTTCATGTTACTGCTAAATAATTTGGGCACAGATCTTAAGATTAAGCATCAATTTTCAGTATCATCAAAAGCAAATGGGGCTTCAAAGGTAGCACACACACTCAGTTAAAGGGGTTTTCTGGTTTGCAGGATGCTTTGAACCCTGGGCTAACTATACTGGGGATGGCCGTGTTCACATAGCACACCAGGTAACACATGGTAGTTTGTTATTCAGTGTGTTGTGGAAACCCAGCTGTGGGGAATGATGCATTTGCTATGCTTGGTGCTCAGGATTTCTTCCAAAGGAAAAACTGCATTGAGGCAGCTTTATAAAATTGGTTGCCAATATCACTGCACCCATATTAAAAACAGGAAAAATATAAATTTATTTTGGAGAAAATAACAAAAAATGAATTACAATCTGAAACAAGGCTCACTCATCAGACAGCAATTCAATCACATTTTACATTTTGTTAAACTTTCCATCATCCCCACAAATGAATGCTACAACTGAAATAAAGATTGGATAGTCTAGTGCAGGGGTAGGCAACCTTGGCTCTTTTATGACTCGTGGACTTCAACTCAACCATGCTGGCTCAGGAATTCTGGGAGTTAAAGTCCATGAGTCATAAAAGAGCCAAGGTTACCTACCCCTGGTCTAGTGATTGGTCCTTGCTCCAGTTGATGACTCTTGCAGTTTGAGAGTGACTATGAGAACACTGCCTTCCCACCCCAACATGTGACATTAATGAGTCATGCTGCCAGATTGTGAATTTCTTATGGTTTATCTGCAGGTGACCAACAATATTCGGTGCCTCCCCCAGTGTACGGCTGCCACACTCCCACAGACAGTTGCTCCAGCAGCCAGGCTCTTCTCCTGAGGAATCCTTACAACAGGTGCGAATCTTTACTGTATCCTCCATCCTCTTTTGCCTCCTGAAGCTTGGCAAATCAGCTTTTGAGATGGGCTGTAATGTTTCACTGAAGCAAAGAGCTCCTTCTCTTCTTCCTCCTTCCTTCCGCTTGACTTTATTCTACCTCTGAGAACAGGACAAAGAGCTTACCGTGTCACCACCCCTAGTTTTCTTTGGAAAGAAAGATAATTAACACTGGGGAGGGAGAATTATGATATAACTGGCTTATTAAAGATGAAAACGTGTGGGCAAAAATTGACAGACAACAGTGGAGTCTTTTTTGTGCCCCTAGGTTGTCCTCCCGACTATAGCCAAATATTAATTTTGAAGGGATGACCCCATCAGACTAGTAGAGGGGGGGAAAAGGCATGTAGTAATTAAACAAAATAGGACTTGATTTTTTTCTGAGTAATTACCAGTTGCAATGTAGGCAAGGAATGATGGACTTTAGAGTCTCAATCCTTGCAGGGCACCAGGCTGGAGAAGTTCAGTGTAAACTTTACTGTTGCCATGAACATCTCTCTTCAGTGTCAACTTCTATCATTAACACAGGCTGAAAATCTGCACAATATTTCTTTAAAACTTTCCCAGTGGGATGACTGCCAAAAATTGATGAGGTTTTTTTTTTGCCATTCTACTCGACCCTTCCTTTCAGACCTGCTCTTGTCCCCTGGTAGAAACATGTGACTTTTCAAAAGAGAGAATGACTTTTTTTTCCAGGGCATTCACTCTGAAGTGTTTGCAATATATCATTCTGGTATTCATTGAAATGGATGAGACTAATCTGGTTTAAGGGAAAAGTACTGGTGATAGAAGTGTGATAGAAAGTTATAGAACACATTCAACTGCTAATTAGAAAGCTGTAGGACTGACAGTTTAGTTCCTTAATTTTTCTTCATTCTAGCCAGTGACAAAAAAGCCCATCTCCTGAAAAAATGGGAGGAAGTAAATAATTCCATTAATACAGAAGGACAGAAAGAAACAGAGGTACTTAAAAGTGTTTAAAGGCATCTCTGAGGAGAAAAGTGTCCCAGAATTCTTGAGTTTTAAAATTAATCAGGATAAATGGCCTCTTGCTGCAGTTCTCACCCACTGTGAGAAAAGAGAATGTTACTATTTTAAGTTTGTAGGTTGCTAGTTCAGAATGCACCATCATTCTTTCCTCTCTTGGACTGGGCTTAGCACATTCTTGAAGCCCTCCTTTCAGAGTTTTATATCTGAGAGATGTGGGGTGCATCTACTCTCATATAGCATTCTGGTTCTCTAAGGTGAATCTTAAAGAGAGTGATGGCAACTGTGGCTAAGAATATGATTGAGATGACAAATAGAAGAATTACTTGTCTGCCTACCAAATCGAAGCTATCAAGCAGTTAGCTTCTATCCTTAATGAGCTTTAGGGTTTGATCCTCATACATTTAAAAGAGCAGTCCTTGGGGCCAGCAGCCCTTGCTGTTTTGTTGGATAAGACCATGGAGCAGGACCTGCGGGGAGGAAGGGGGAGCACCTTTTCATTTATTTTGAGCTTGCTTACCAGCCAGAACTAAAGTCTCCTCTTTCCCTTCCCTTTCCCCCTCCTATTCTTCAACTTTTGGTGAACTTGGAACAATCCTACGTCTCAGAAACTGCTGAGAAATATTATGCACATAACAAAAGGGAGCTCTGCAAAGAGGAACTATAAAACATTCTCCTTCGCTTCAGGCAGACCCTCCATAGGAACGGGGACTGTACTTCCCAGAATTCTTAGTCAGCATAGAAGTTATAGCTGTAGCACATTGGTGCATCCTAGGCTGGAAAGCTGCAATAGAGCTTAATTGTACTGTAGAGCAGGGGTCCCCAACCACCGGTCTGTGGACTAGTACTGGGTCACGGCATGCTAGCAACTGGTCTGCACAAATAACCAAAGCCCCATCTACTGGATGCAGGCAGCACACAAAACCACGCTCCCTCTGGTCTACAGAAAAACCTCTCTCCACGGAACTGGTCCCTGGTGCCCAAAAGGTTGAGGATTTCTGCTGTAGAGGAATATGCCTGGCTGTGTAGTTGTGTTGACAAATGGATAGAAAAATGTTAGCATCTCTCCTCCTGTTCTCAAAACCTACTCTTCCTATATTAGAGAACTGCAGTGATGTCAAGTGTCAGAAATTAGTTAACCAATTAGTCTTATTCATATGGAGGAAATCGGCGAATAACAGAACAGTACAAGACAATTTTTTTCAGGCAAAAAGACTGAGGTGTGTGTAGATCCAGACTTAACAATGTATCTGTTAGGTATCTATCAAAATTCTTACTATCTTTAGACCAAGCATGATCAGTTTCAAAAGCACTGCAAGCTTTTAAGTTCTTTAAAACCTTTAGTCAGGAAAGTTGTTACAAATCAGAGATTATGGGGAAAGAGGATGAGAGTCCAAAAAATTAGATCCAGAACTTTCTAGCTTATCAGAAGTAAGTTTAAATTTCATGCCCCTAAATGCTGAGTGCACAAAGCTGAATCTTAAAATCAGGTCAAAGGGAGGCAATTCCCTGTTCTGTTATAATCAAGGCCAAGCAGGCGAGACCCCAACAGAAGATAAGAGCACAGAGCACCTGAGATGTAAATGACTGTTTAGGAATTTGCAGGCAGATCCAAGGCCACACTGAGCTTTGCTTCATTAAGCTTAATGAGCAACAGCTGAGCTGTGGAGTATCAGTGGTCAGCTGTGGAACAGAATAGTATCCCCAACGTCTACAGCCTGGTGTTAAAAGCAACAAATAGACTGGAAAAAGATGTTGTTTAGGCAAAGATCTGGCCTTGTCAGATTCCACCTTTCCCAAAATGGCATCCTTCAGATGCATTTCAATTGTTACAATTCCTAATCACCATGGCCATGTGAACTGAGAATTACGGGAGCTGTGTCTCCTAGAGCAGGAAGCCTCTGCTCTGGTGCCTGGCTGAGGAATTCTGGGAGTTGAAATCCACAAGTCATAAAAGGACCAAGTTTGAAGATCCTTGGTTTAAAATAACCTTTTACTTGCATGAACCTCATTTGTCCAAGCAATTGCTAAAGATTTCTCTTATTTTAATTAATGTTGGCTCATTTGTAGATATATCTATGTGAAAATTACTTTTTCTTAGCAGCTGATTTTGCAAACTTTCTTCTCCAATCATAACTGGAAACTTTTTATGTATTCACGCATTCTAAAGCAGGGTGTCAAACTGCCGGCCCACGGGCAGGACGTGTCACATGGAAGCCGCGTCCACCCCATTGCCGGCAATGGCAAAACTGTTGTGAGTTTGACATGTTTGCTTTAAAGTATTTATATCCTCATTTTCTCTATAAAGTTTTAGGTGGACACTGCAGTTACATATTTACTTTTTTATTCTTATATTATTGTAGTCTTTATTAGTTTTTATTTCTATTTGTAATCTTTAAAACATCATTTAAAATAGCCAACAGTTACAAATTTACAGATAGCATATCTGAAGAGAGAGAAAGAGAAATAGCAGAGAAACGTAATAATGACATTTTAAAGATAATTTATTTTTTAAAAGCAATATTATATGTGAAAAGAAATCATTTCGGCAATTCCCACAAGATTGTTAAGGACAAACAGCTCCCTGAAAAGGAGTTCCAGAGATTCACACAGTGACTGAAAAGATCCTACAATCTGGTAGATTCCCTGAGTTCAGTGGGATTTATCTCCCACATGTTTATTATTTCAGTATTATAGTCATTCTAATGGTGTGGTGAAATCAGTGGCGTAGCGTGGGTTGTCAGCACCCGGGGCAAGGCAAGTAATTTGCGCCCCCCCTCCACAGTGGGCGGCGACCCGGCGGCTCGGATCGGATTCGCACAGCCAGCACTGCAGAGAGAGTGAGTGAGCCAGGCAGGGGCAGAGAGCTGCGAGTGCGAGCGCGCCCCCCCAGATGTTGCGCCCGGTGCGGCCAGCCCCCCCTGCACCCCCCACGCTACGCCACTGGGTGAAATTATTTAACAAAATGTTTAGGTCTTAAGAAGTGTTGTAGAGAAATAAAACTGGCTTTTCTTTCTAATTGTAACTAATTGTAAAAAACTTGTGAGGTTTTACTGAAGTTCTTTGCTATGTATTAGCAATATAATTATAATCTGTAATCCCTATTTAATCTGTGGGTTGACAGAACATTGATTCTGCCATATATTTAGCTGCTCCTTTTATCTACTCAACAGCACATAGAACCAGACTTAAATTTCTTAAGTCTATAATTTAGAAGCTAAGATTTGTCATCTTAGTCTGATTCATAGCAGAAATATACCAGTACCAACCAGTCACTATAATTTTAAAAGTTACATTTTTGATATTTACTGTACTCCTGTATGTCTATTTTAATTTCTCCTATTTAAAACCTTAATTTGTAGAAATGAAATTCTATTTTTCAAGTCCCAATCTGAGACTTCTGATAAATCTGAATTATATATCTTGTATAAATTTTGCAGTCTGGTCTCTGATTGGAACTCTTCAAATCTGTAGCTTTTAATGTTATTTTTTTTAATTATTTGATTCCTCCATGGCAAAATCAGAACTCCAAAAAGCATTGATGTCCCAGAATCCTGATTGAATGAATGAGGAAAATTGTTATTTTTTCAATGTACAGACCTTAAATAACTGACTTTCCAGTAACTGCTGAAGCTCCATAGTGCCTATGGACTTACAACTTCAATAATTTCATAATGCAGATTTCTAAAGATAATGATGCTAGACTGAGATATAATAAAATTTGGCTTTATTTTTTTGAATGCTTATTGATTTAGATTCAAATAAAAAAAAAACCAGGATAATTTTTCAGTTTATACATATTACTACAAAGAACTCAATGAAATTGAATGTGCAAATAAAACTATATAGAACAGGGTGGTGAATTATATTGTAAAAATGCTCAAAATGCCATCAAAAGAAGTCAAATCATGGCAACTGGGCCAAAGTTCATTAAACTGTGATGTCTCTTTACTCGTCTTGCCATAACAATTG